TGTACCTGTCTACATCTAAAGTTAGGGAAGATGAACACCTTCAGAGATGACAAATGACGTTTAACACATGGTAGCATTCACAGCACACACTAGAGGAGCAGTTATCTATTGCCACTCATCACTGAGAGATGTTTTAACGTGAAGAACCTGTAGAGCCTTGCTTCCTCCATAGCATTCCATAAGCGTGTTCTGTACCAATGCAGTGATACACCTGTTCATCTCTTTACTCATATCACAGCTCAATCTGCTCAGATGCTACTTCTAAGAAGCACCCACACATGAGATTTCTATAAGCTTTTTCACTACAAAATCATGTTTTTGATTGCTTGCAAGTTTGCCACACTGAAATAACTCAAGCTGCCCACACTAGGCGCATCCATCTGAACTGAGCAAAACCCCACAGGTAACATAGTCCACACTTTTCAAATAATGAGACCTAGGGAATAGGGAAACCTATTTACTCATGAAAAAAAATATAATCTGCTAGTTAGTCACTCATGTTGGTAGAAGCCACTAAAACCGTCATGCAATCACAGCTTAGAAAGAAGGAAGTGTCCAGGTTTGGGTCCTTTTCAGCATCCCTGTGGAAAAACATCCAACTTCTGACAAATGATCAATTCATGCCATTTGTAACTCTTCCAAATTTGTCAGGTAAATTCTTTTAAGATGCCACCATTGCTCCTCTTCTACTCATGGGCTCTTCTGCATGTCTTTCTCACAAAGACAGACAGTACTTTCTGTTTTAGGCCAGAGGTCGTGAGGTAATGTTATACTGACATTTTTTGTTTTTTTCATGTCTGCCAATTCCATTCTTTGCTTAGTTCATTAATCGAATCATGACGGGAGGAGCCTGACTGCTAGTGGAGGATCTATCCACCATTCTGCTGACAATTTCCTGGTTCACACTTCAAGATGTCTCCCTGCTCTCATCTATTCTTACCCTTTCCATCCTCCTGCAAACTCATCTACAAAGTGACTTCTGATAGCCAGTGTCAGAATTAATAATGAATTTAAATCCACTGTGTGACTTTCCCTGAGACAAAGAAGCAAGAGGCTGACACCTGGCACTACAGAAAAGGTCTCTTAACTTTATGCCAGCGCCTCCCATCCACGTTTAGGTACTTGCATTTGAACATCTTGGTCTGCATGCCTTGTAAGGACTGACTCACTGACTGCTCATTAAATGACTGTTCCCAAGAAAAGAAAGGCAGGATTTAGGCTTCCCAACATAGGAGAAAAAGATACTTCCATGAAGAGAGGTCTCACTTCATGACTCCTTTGTATTTAGTCAGCAAAATTCTCTGCTACTTGACACAAATGATGGAGAGGCTGGACAGAAGTGACTATGGATATAAGAAACAGGTGTACCCCAAGTCACATAAGGCAGAACTCCTTACTAGGAAAAGCCAAGGGGAAAACACTTCCTTTTTCTAAATTCTTGACTTCATGGCTTGTATTCTTGCATTGTATTGAGTCGGCCTGGAGACTTCACTCACGCCCAAGAAAAGACAGAATGTTTTGATTAATAATGTGGCTTGTCTCTGTGAGTGAGACAGCCATTTAAAAATACCTTATGCTGTTTTGAGGGACTAGCATATTTCATGGCAGGAAGCTTCCGTTCTGTACAGGGAGATAACCAGAGCGAATCACAAGGCAGAGCCAGCATGCGGCACAACACAGAGGAAAGAACCAAAAAGCTGCAATCCAACACAATGATTTTACAGCCCATTAAGGTGAAGGTAAATTGAAATTCCTTCTATAAATTCAGGGCAATGGAAAAGAGATCCACACCACTTACATTACTGGGGCCTGTAACTGCACCCAAACTTCTTACAGAGAACTATCTCAAAAGTGAACACTCAGTAGAAAAACAGCACAGACCAAGAACTTCAGCAACTTCTGTCACAAGCCTTGGACCTTGTACCCAGAGACAGTCTTGAATGCTATTTTTGCTTGCAGAAAAAGGAACGATAAAGTAAGGACCAGTAAGTCCCTGAGGATTATTGGTGATATTCTCAGATTTACTTTCCATTGCCTGCACTGATTATTTCACTCTGACAGTAAAAATTTCATTCATATAATGCAAAGGTTTACAGTTCTTTGTATGCATAAACACAGCATAAAGCCACTCGCAGCTAAGTAAGGAAACCTATCTGGAGTGTGAAAAAGACACTTTGCTACGCTCATGGCACTTGTTTGGTGCAGAATACAGCACTTACACCTATAACAGGGACACCTAGAACTATTTTAAACAAAGTTTGGAGAGGGAGTTTCGAGATAAAACAATTGCCTGAAAAGAGGATAAATGTGAATTTGCAGTGGGAATACTTCTATCTCAAAAGCACTGAGGAACTCAGCAGCTTGCAGCAACAGCACATGGGCAAAAAGAGCATTTCATCTCTCCATCCGCTGATAGACAGGTTCCCACCAGAGTAGCTCTTTGGTGGCCAAGATAGAGCTGCGGTGTGATCCAAATGCTATTTTGCAAAACACAATTTTATTTCATTACCTCTTGGGATAACGTCTGGCAGCTCAAGAGTGCCAGTGAATAATGATATAATCCTTTTGAGACTTGGGCAAGAGAGACCAAAGAGCAGAAGTCAGAAACATGCCTGAAACCTACCTCAGAATGGCTATGGAAAGTGTAAGAATTAAATTTTTGTTTCACTTTTGTCAAAGAAAATGAAGGCGACATGGAATTCAAAATCATCAAATGGTGAAATGGAAAAGAGTAATTTCCTGCCTGGGACTGGCCAAATAAAATCGAACAGCAATATGCTGGTCTTCTCCCAAAGGCCAGAGGAAAGGACTGGCATCAGCCAGCAAACCCTTAGCAGGTCAAATCCCACAGGAGCAGCAGGAAGGTGACCCAGAGCGCTGCAGCACTCCGCTGATGTTGCCAACCCCTCCAGTGTCAGGAAAGGAACACTGGGTTCCTCCCTGAAGGTAAGATGATGAGACAAACTTCCTGTTAGGAAAAGAGGAGATATCCAGAGTACCAACGAGCATTGATGAGACGCACAAGTCCAGGTTCATGTTCCTTAGGAACATATATCTGGGTCGTTGCTTTGCCCTTACACTGATGGGATTTATATTGCTTTTGAACATCTACTTCCGATACTGACTAAAATATGATGAAATAAAAGCTGGCCACAATAGATGAAGCTGCGATCTTTAATAGACTCAAGTAGATACATTATAATCTGTCATAAACTTAAAGACACCTAAACACAGCTGTTGCCAGTAATTTTCCTAATTCTTTCATGCAGCTTTGATGTTCTGGTCTACACAGCTTTTTAGTGATATGGCCTTCAAGAGTCACTCCACACACGTATGGAGTGACTTTCTTGATGAATACTCATAAAGACAGAGCAATCCCTGTCAGCAGCAATGACACGACTTGCTGGCTGGAAGTAATCTTTAGATCCGAACAGGTTGAACTGAGGATGAATAGAACTAAATCCTGTGTTGGGAAGTGAAGTCCGCAGGTCAAAGCTGCAGACCTGTCAGCTCTGGTTTGCCAATTCACACAGAAACACAGACCATGAGGTACGGCAAACAAAATGAGAGGCAAGTAACTCAAACACGAAGCTTGGAATTTAGCCATTCACCAAACACGATAAATGGATCACCATATAGCTCAGACACATATCAGTTTCTGCACAGATTAAATTCCTTCAGGTTTTTGATCTTTAGTTTAGATTCCTACTATAAAAGACACAGGGATGCAGCCTCCTGCTTCAGAAGGAGAATTTGGTGGTTTTCCACTGGGGAAAGTGCTCGGCAAAGCATTCCTGCCCTTCACGCTTCAGGGCTGAGCCTGTGGTGTGGGGGGCCGAGGCGTGCGCAGGACACTGGGACAGCCCCGCTGCTCTCTGCCCCTTCGGATCTCGGGCTGAATCACAGGCATAGGGTCGAAGCAACAGTATTTGTGATCTCATACACTCTCTGTTAATAGATTTGATAGGACGGGCACATTCAGCCGCTTCTCCGTAACGACTTCCCACAGTCTCACCGTCCCAGGGCGCTGCCAGCCGCGGGGCCGACAGCTCCCCTCGGGCTGCCGCCGCCCGTACCGGGCGGGTTCCGGAGCGGGCTCCCTCCGGCCAGCCACCCCAAGGCAGCCGCCGCGCCCGCCGCTACGGGGGACAGGGAGGCTCCTCCCGCTCCGCCCCGGCGCCGGGGATTTACCGTCAGCCGGATCTGCCGAGCCCCGCTCGCCGCAGCCGCCGGAGAGGCGCCGGGCCGGGCCGGGCTGGGCCAGGCCGCGGTGCGCGGCTTCCCCCGACCCCTCCGCCGGCGG